AAGATTACAAAAGGCTAATTGAAAGAAATTTCTGCTCATCAACACAATGAGTTTACTCGCCACCAGGAATCGGGATATACATTTAATTTACAGTTACAACTGAAAATATTTTCTTATCAATGAGATAAGAAGCCTCATGGATACACAGCAAGCTGCCATGTGGCGCGTCATGTAGCCTGCTACGTTATCATATATCTCGAAGTAATAACAAAGATCTTTTTAGTAAACGCCTGAAATAGAGAGAGATTTGATTATCTAGAGAAGGAAACTTTTAGAAAGCATATGAGAACATTCTATTAACAAGCAACTGTTTGTACAGAGAAGTGAGTTGCGAGAAATGTAGACAAAGATACGCTCGGCGCTGAGATAATAAAAATATTTTAATTGTTTTATTTTTTTCGTCAGGTGCCGATATCCAGACGCGATTTCTTCATAATGATTCTTTATAATGAAAGAATTTAAAAGGCCACTTGGAAGGAACGTTTTGTACTACATGATTAAGAATCGAAGTACTGACAACATCGAAAAGCCCTGTTTATAAAATGCGCGAGCGCTAGAATTACTTTGGAGTTGGAATTTTTCCAGAGAGCGCGCCCAACTCCCCCGCGCGCGACAAAAAGAAAGCGAAAGTGACGCGATTCGACATTTCGCCGTTGAGTGTGTGCAACACACGCTGCAAGGTGGGAGTGCGTGTGCGTGTGCCCGGGTTTCGTTCCTCCCATCCGGTTAAAGCAGAACAAAATAAAAGGTGAAACAAAGCGGAGTACGTTTCCCGAGGGAGTTTCATAATACCTTCTTGAATAGAGACACCGGGATAGCCTTACACGCGCGTTTATAATGTCGTATGTGTCCGCGCGCACGCTAGCGCAAACAATGAGTTTACCTTAAAGCTTAGGGAAAAATGTGGCGGCCAGTGACACGTGGTAAGCCCGGAAAATCGACTGCGACACGCACCGGCCGCTACTTCGTGGGTTTATGTTGCGAGAACTATTGTGTTAAGAGTTCCCCGAGATGGAGAGAATGATACTTTTCGCGCTACTGTTATCGAGTACTTCCAGGAGGTCATAAGTGTCAAAAAATAATGACATTAATAGCATATTATACATATAATAGAGCGTTTAAAAAATACTTTTATGCAGAATTCGTTTTGAAAAAATGTTAACGCTTATATGTGAGAAAAAGTTACTTCCATATAAGTGTTAATATTTTTCTCAAATATTACTTGTATATCATGTAAAGTATGTGTATATTCTTTTAACAATCTAAAAATGTAACGATGATTAATAATATTATATTTGTACTGACACAATCTTATTAATATATTTCTTGTTAAAAATTACGATTTTTCGAACAATATAAATATAACAAAAAATATTTTTAGAATAATTGTACAAATCTTGAACTGACTTTTTAAGAAGAACTACAATTTTTAAGAAGATCTGGTTCTGGAATTGTTTTATGTTAAAAATAATAATGGCTTGTTAATATGGATCCATAGAGATGTAAATAAATAGCAAATCTTTATTCGGTTAATTTCAACTCAATTTCACATCACAGTTATCTTATTTAAAGCTAATTTATCAAAAAATTTAATATTAAAATATAGTAGATGATAATTATCTTTTTCGAGTTATGACTAAAAAAGATCGACTGAAAGTCGCCAACACATTTATTAAAAAAGTATCTTAAGGATACATTATGAAGAAAAAGTGATGATTTTAGAGATTTCTAGTTAATTTTGTAAAACATAGGCGGTTTCTCGATAGCGTCCCGCGACGCTAACTTTGTTATTTCCAGCTTATTGATTGAGCTGGCACTCCCAGAGGTAATACCAATACCAATACTCAGGTCATCGAACTTCGAATATTGAACATTGATCTATTACATCTCCCAGATTAGTTTTTACGATGGGAATATGGCAAGCGTGAAATAAAAAAGTTTCTGAGGCCCTGGGGATGCTTTGAAAATTAGATCATTTGTATTCCTTGTTACAGGAAACCCGATTTTTTGTTACGTATCGTTTGTCCCGAGGAAATTTTAATAATTTTCGCAACTTGGCGAGACGTACGGACGACAGGGTATATATTGCTTTTAGAACAAGGTTGGTACGGTATAGTTCGTCATAACGCAGCGTAATTATTTACGATTCTCGCGAGTTATATGCTTATTTAAGTATGAAAAAGATTTCGGATGAACAGAGTTAATATTAAAGTGAAAGATTGACGAATTATAAAATGTAATTTAAGATGACAGCAGTCATTCATTGTGCAAACGAACAAAACAAAGTTGTGTTCGTTCGCCGTTTAAAAACCGGTGTGTGCCATGATAAATATTCAAGACCGTCACACACAGGCGTATGTGTGCGCATGCATATGACTCAGTAATCACTTTCATACTAAGTGGTACGAATAAATAGCTACATGCAAGTATGACTCTTTAATATCGAAATAATAATTTTCCTTCGGTCATGCCTGCAAACGGCAAACGCAAAGAGACGAGAATAACGCATGAAGCGAGCTTTCCTCTCGAGCTTTCTTCTTGAACATCGTACAAAAGGCAGTAAGGCAGCACTCTACCGTGTGTAATGCCATTTTAATAATCTATACGCACGCGTAAAGCTAAGCTATAAACATAAGCGATTTCTAAACCGTCGCCTCGTAAGACGCAGAAAACTCGAGTCGTCGGTCATATTGTAGACGTTATTTACGGCAAGAAATCGCATTTGAGGAATTTATCTTTAACTTCTTGCTCTTTAAATACTGGAAAAGATTACTACAACGCAACACGAATTAATGAGCGCCGCGCTGGGAGCGTGAACGCGGACGACACAAATCGGCGGATCGAAAGTCGTTCCACTCGAGGTTTGAATAGCGCGGCTGCTTTGTTTGCGAGTCGAAACGATGCAGGAACAAGCGATTAATCTCCATTGAAAACAAAAGAGAAGGGAAGCGATCAAATGCGTGCGAACTGTACAGAGAGAGAGACGTCACCCAGGCGCGATCGCCGGCTATTTATACAACACGACTCCGTAAATCTCATGCCTCAAATGACTGCGCGCATGCACCGCGCGCCACTTTATCAGAGGGCATGATTTTATTTATAGAAAAGCGATGATAATGATACAACTATGAGGCGTGCAGGAGCGCGGGCGCGCACACGCGGCGTCGCGGTGGCATGACTCGTACGTAAATGATAGCGCGTTACCAACAAATAATACGGCAATATGACAGAGAAGAACCTATTAAATTGTACGGATCGAGTCGTAGACATGCATCTTTTTACAACATAGCCGTAAGCTGAAGCAACGTTGTATCGGTGAGTTCGATAAATTCGCAAACGTGACTCTATCGGAATTCCCATCGCTATCCGCGGATACAAACGTCGAACTTCTAATCGGAGCTAGTTAGCGCAAAAATAGCCTTACCACATCGTGTGGCGCGCCGACAGCTGCGTTAGTCCCACAATCGTGAACCACCGCGGATCTTCCGTTGCACGCGCGCGCACATACCTACACGCACACCCACATCCACGCACACATACACCCACCGCACACATAGGCGTACACCACACCATGCGCCGAAACACAATTTTTCACGACCTTCGAAAGGCGAGGTCGCGGCTTCCCGCATGTGACGTCGCGAACTTCACAGCTGATTCGCGCGCGGCCGGACGGCCAGCTGAGCGCAAGGTCAACCCAAGGTCACCGCGACTCGAGGTGCGAACGCGGTCCGATCGCGATGATTTTTCCGACGCGATGTGTCGCCGGTACACGCTTTAATAACAGCGCATTGTTAACAACCGCTCGACAATAGTTTCTTTTGATAATACGAACCGCGTGGCGTGGCGTGGCGTGGCGTGGCGTGGCGTGGCGTGGCGCGCTGCGTCGCGCCGCCGGGCCTGCGTATATGCGGCGTCCATTATCGTGGCAGTTCAATGAAATCTTTAAACGACCGTTTCTCTTTATTCTGCCTGTATCAGTTGTTTGTCCGATGCTGTTTGCGCCGTTGTCGCCGCGGCAGCTTTTGTTCGGCTGATGCATGCATTCTTTTCTTTCTTTCTTTTTTTTTTTTTGCTCTTCGTCGACACAGACAATACCTTCCGTCGAATTTGCATAAACGTGTCCCTCGACGCGCGACGTGGACGTTGCCGGTTAAACAGGATACATGGAGGATACGACGCGCGCGGAACGCACATCATTTTCCACCGTGTGAGTTTTTCGATGAAGATTACACTCATGTACTCGTTTCAGAATTTTTTTTTCCTTTAAGAAAAGCAGGTCAGTAAGAAACGTGAGATAATTTGCAAGACCGATTCGTGGCAAAAGTACCAAGGAGACCATCAATTTTGAAAGGAGCACAAAATATTGTGACGCGTTTAAGATATTTTGTAACTTTTAACGCGATACCGTTAATAAATACTGACACGTGTCAATAACTCAATGTTTCAACTTGCGTGCATGTATAAGTAGCTAGCGATTATTTATCATAGTCATAAATATTGAACAAAGTATGTAAGTTTCTAGTTTAAGTCAATAAGAGCTCAACCGCCGATGTTATGGAGCAAAGTTAATGTATATATTCGTTACATATTTATAAAAAAAAAAAAAAAAAAAAAAAAAAACACTGACCAGTACAGAAACATCGACTAATATCTGATGAGCTGTCACGATAATTGGAGAACAACAGAATTTTCTGCCGTCGCAGCAAAATTTCAAAATGATATTTGAGCCTCGAAGAGTTTCATTCTCGTTAGTGGCGTTATTGGCAACAAGAGACATGATACAGACGGTTAGTATAGTGACCGTTTACTTCATTAATAGGCACACAATTTAAGATGGTAATTTAGTCAACTTGTTACACTGATAAATGCATTTGCAGCTGACGCAGCGTTGCATGAAGATACAAAACGCCGACATGCTGTTGCCTCCTGCGATTGCGGCATCGAAGAAAGTTTTTGCAGTCGTGTAATTATATGACGCGACGTGTGCGTCAACGACTTACTTGAGTATTTTTGCGTTGTCTTGGATTTCTAATGGCCATAAGTTTGAAGTTGTCCTTATGCGTTTTCTCGGAATCGGAGATAAGAATCGTATGAAATACATTTTTCCTGCCGAATGCTTCAGGATTTATATGAACGTCATCGTAGCTTGCAGGTTATAGCGCGTATATTGTTCACGATATTAATTTATTCGTCGCATTTGACATTCGTTTCCTTGCAAATGTTTACCGTGGTTTCTTCGGACAACTAAATAGTTATATTTATAGTAAATTTCAAGGACACTTTCAGCACTATGTTTATATTACTGATTACATGAAATGATATCGCGAGCACGAGTTAACTTTAAACTTTGCCAAGATCTCGGAGCGCCATTTCTCACCGTTTATAAATACATACAGTCCTAATAACGAAATGTTAAGATAGCTGTATTACTAAATACTGTATTTCGCGGTGCATCAAGGGATAAATATGCTATTTATCAAGCAAAAAGAACTATGTTTTGATACATTTATTTCATTGTCTGCGTATCACTGTAAATTTGAAACAAAATTAAGATAAACATATCTACACAATATTACAAATATATGAAAAAACTATTATATTTTTATTTTATTGATGAGTGTCTTATTTATACATTAGTTTATCTAATAGCAGTGTACAGATAATAAAAAAATATACGGATATATCTAAATATATATATTATTTAATTATTACTATTATTTAATTATTATTATTATTTAATTATGAACTTTCTAGCGCTATATCTTAAAAACAAAATAGTCGAAATTTGTGTATATAATGTCTGTTTATTGGTCTTTAATATCATAGTAGTTTTTTATCAAAATTTCACATGTTGTTTAGGAGATATTAGAAATAGAAACATTAAATATTAAGAGATTTAGATATAAAAAATAGCACGTTAACCTCAAGGAACATGTATATAAAGTGTCAACTTTAATTGCAAATATCTCAGTTCTTGAATGATTGGTCTTTTTCTAGTTACATGTGCAGTTAGGCAATGTTTTACTGTGTATGTAGTGCAAATTTCATCAAATTCTCACGAAACTCATTTTGTGATATAACTATCTTAAAGGATAATTTTCCCAGCTCACCTGACATTTAACGTACAAATTAATATTTCGAAATAGATTACAAGAAAGTTGAATATCGTGGAGAGGGCAATACGAAAACCAATTAAGGAAACGTCTTGGAAAATTAATTTATCGCTTCTATAGGAACGACAAGCGATTCTTCGAATTCCACAACAAAGTCACGAATCTAACGCAACGGTAGAATAATTTGCCGTGATGAATTGATTATCCCCGAAGGTCAAGACACACGAGTCTCGCCGCGCGCACGGTGTAGCATAATTCCAGCGGGAAGGAGATTCCTACACTTCATTTGCGTTTCGAGCTGATGCCTGATACTTATCGAGGCAGGAAAGTAATGAAGTTTAACGGGAATTGCGCCGAGTCGCAAGCGTACGAATCGCGCTCCGTGCGTATGATGGAGGCAATTTTATTTTGTATGCGAATGGGCCCGATCATTCCGCAATCCGGCTAATTCACGAAATAATCGCGATGAACGACGAAGATTACACGACATAAGTTTTGAATACATGGCGGAGCCTCGCGGTTTTCCCCGTTATTCGCCTTACCTTACCTTATAGTCGACGCACAGCTTGGCTATAAATATAACCATCTGTTTACTCGTTGCTGCTCGCAAACACTTTTTAATGTATCCTACTCTCTCTCTCTCTCTCTCTCTCTCTCTCTCTCTCTCTCTCTCTCTGTCTGTCTCTCTGTCTCTCTCTTCCCATGAAGGTCTAAAAGCATAGACTGACGCACGACGTCGCGACAACGCGAGGTTGCGGAAAACGACGAGTACCCGCTCCAGTTTATCCGCGCGAACACATCGCGAGAAAACGCCTTGCAAACAGTCGTGCAATAGATACTCGCTTGTTATCCAAAGGCGAGCATTGCTGTAAAGCTACGAGAGACACGCAGCCGCAAAGAAAATAAAATTAACTTCTTATCTGTGGCTGTAAAACGATCGTAACACAGAACAACTAATGAGAAACCGCTTTAAAAATAATCTCTGTAGCCGCTAACACGAAGAGTCACGCTGACGTTCTATGGACGTTTGTTTATTTGGAAATTACTTCGTTATCGGTATCGTTTCGATATTTATCGCCTGAATAATGTTGTTACAGTCATTTTGCCTTCCCCATTAACGTCGTGCGGTAAGTCTGCGAGATTAGCGGGAGTTCTTGCTCGAGACATTGATCGTTCTTGTTAGTATCGATTAATCGCGAGAGTCGTGTACGTTCTATATTTTGTGTTTTCGAGAGTTAAATGTTTTTGGCACGCCAGTAACCTATAAAGGAGATCAAATGAGACGTTTACTAAAGATATTTTATGCATGTATTTTATTTGTGCAAGAATGTATGACAAAATCGGAAATTAAAATAGTTATATCGCTAGGTGACGCGTTTTCAGTGACTCAACAACCACTTATAAACTTATTATTTATTAAACAAAATTATATGTTTCTCTATACATTTATTTCACCATCTAGGTTACTGTTAACTTGAAGTAAAATTGTAATAAATACATATGTACGTACAATATAAAACACTATTATTTTTTATTTTTTTGATAAGGATTTCATTTATGCGTCAGTTTGTCTAATAGATATTATAAAAAAGATGTGTACGTATTTATTTGTGTTTATGTATATGTATGTATTTCGAGTTAGTATTACTATAAATTTTCCACTGCTGTATCTTGAAAACGGAATAGTTGATAATTCTGAAATTTCTATATAATATCTGTGTATTAGTTTGTAATATCATAGTAGTTGTTCATCCAAATCTCACATGTAGTTTAGGTAATATTAGGAATGGAAATTAAAAATAGAACGATAGCTTCAAGGAACATGTGTAAAAAGTGTCAACTTTAGCAAATATCTCAGCTCTTAAATAGTGAATTTTCATCTAATACACAAGCAATTAGATAATATCTCATTGTGTACATAGTGCAAGTTTCATCAAATTCTTACGAAACGTTAGACGCGATTCTTTCAAAAAGCGGAAAGACGTCGATACTCTCCGCCTTGATATCTGTATAACGCTAACGTAATAAACCGTTCGAATAATTCCCAGCGGACAATAACTGTCTTTCAAAAAGATTGATTACGATTGAGGAGCAACGGCTCTAATTTGACGTTTGAATGCTTGATCCTGTGTATGGAGGCTGGTACAATAAATAATTACGGACAATTTGCGGGCTTTGCGTTTCCAGACAAGACTGCAGCACGAATTTCGCCGATTAATCGTCTGGCACGAATCGTTAAACTGTTCAGATTCGATCAACGAGATCAAATCGACGACCGATCCAATTAAACGTTTCCTCTCATCGAATCGAACGCTCGTCGGGGATCGATCCTCGGCTGACGCGGCGGGATCGATAGTTAAAACGTTATTAAATAGCCCCGCGATAGTTTATTAAACATCAATATAACGTCGAGAGCGGTAGGTGAGCGCGGTATCTCGAATCTTTTAGTGCTACAAGCATCTCGTGTACGCAAACTTTCCGTTCCGCAGCATCTGCTTTACAGATCGATACATAATGACGCTCGCCAATAAGATTTTTCGAGTTTTTCTTTCTATCTTAGCTTACTAGGCATTACTTAGCTTACTTAGCATTTATCTCGCTCGTTATCGTAATTGGCTTGAAGCAAATTTCCATGGAATTATCATAAATGATCCGCGTCATTTTTGTTATTTATCTTTGCGCGTTCCCACGAAGAAATGTTAAGTTTCTGAAATTCGATGTTTCTGAACAGAAATTCTCTTATTTAAAGACACTTACTCTGTCGATATATTTTACGAGTAACGTATATATTTACCACATTTTTTAAGTTGACAAACTCTTTTAAACGATACTTGCGTGAAATTTAATTGATTGCAGACTTATCTCAGAAAACTGGACTTTACAATATGACGTAGCAGCTATTGTGTACTCATTCCTGTTACACAGTAATCGTTCCTTGTCATAACAGTTTAATCAGGCCTAATCTATCTTGTGCAATAATATCTATGCGAGAATTTCTTCATTCCGGATCCGGCGATTGCATTCAACCTATGACCCGCGTTACATTACATTGTAGATGCATGTATATTTTGCCGCAGCGGGAAGTTAAAGGAGATCGGATCGTTCATCTTAAGCCGATCAATTAAGCGTTTCGCCTAATGCGTTCGAATCAAACGATCGGTCGACATAGTCCGTGGCACTCTAATTGATTTAGCTGCTCGATGCATGCGTGTATACGTACGCCGTTCCACGTGTTACGACAAACCAGATTCCATAAACGGCGCGAGAAGGCGGAATAGAGTTCCCGATACTCATCAAAGCATGCATTGTTAAAAGAACTGCTCTATACGAATTAGCCAACGTATAATTATTGCCAGTGGATCAATAGCACAGCTGTCTCTTGTAAATAGAGAGCTATCGTTCCGTAACATCGATATGCATCGCGCGAATTTACTTGCAATTTATACACGAAGAGGACTTTATAGTAAAAATTACTACAGAATTTTGTAACTGTGAAATAGACCGACATTTCGCATATTTATTACTCTTTCATTTTTCATATGTGCTATTTATACTTTAGGAACTGAAATGTACCATTAAAAAATCTGCTATTCTAGCGTAATTAACCATTTTTCTTAGACTGACGGTTCATTCCTGCTGAAAATATAGTAAAATTGGAGAGAATTTATATTTAGAAAAAGAAAAAACTATTATATATATATATATATATATATATATATATATATATCCTCTTCGCATAGGCATAGTATATTCAAGGTTTTAAAAACAATGAAATTAATAAATCATAAAATAAGTTTAGGCTATAACTCTCCTAACATAATCGAGCAATTTAGGACTAATAAGGTTTGTATCACTTCTTTAACAATTAGAAAATATAAGGTAGAAAATATAAGGCTATATATATATATATATATATATATATATATATAAAAGATTTGTGTAACACTTCTTTGAAGGAATTAGAAAATATAAATTCTTCTATCAGAAAAATGCTCGACTTCTAACGAAAAAAGGAAAGTGAATACTGATGAACGTTTTACTTTTCAAGTGGTGCTAACAAGAGGTAAATATTTAAATGCTTAAATAGACACGGATTCGTGTTATTCAGCCGCCTTTCTACCTGGAATTAACGTCTCTCTGTTCCGCACGAAACTTTCCTCCCGCGCTCCAGTTTCGATCGCGCAACGCGACGCGCCGTTCACGCGTGCCGGCCGGACGCTTCGAATTGGCAGACGGACAGGCGGTGGTCTGGCTGGTCGATAATTAATTGGCCGCTCTTAAATTTGGAATACCCGGAAAAGAATGCTTGTGCCGCGGGATCGGCAATTTATGAGCGCGCGAACTAGCCACGGTAATAAGCGGAGTAACGGACACGCGTCCGGCAGTTTTCTTAAAAGGTGTGCGCACAATTAGAGAACGTGCGTATATAGCGTGTCCCATAAATCTTAATAAAAGCCGCGGTAACGATTGCTTACTCACACGGTACGGCTGGGCTCGCGAGAGGCTAATGATTCACGTGAGTGGCCGCCAATGCGCGGATATAATTCCCTCCGCTCGGCTACCCGCTAACTTAACGGCGACTTCCATTTTCCCAGCACGTCGCGTCGTCGGGGCTACTCATCCTCAGTAAACATTATCACTCGCTGATTTGCCCGTGTCACGGAGGACTGGAATCGCGTTCCCGGCAACGAGAACGTAACGCAACGCAGCGCGCGCCGCAGTGTGCATTGCATGCGTCGCGAATCTCAGAACGATTGCATTCAGCCGTAGGCCGCGATGCAGTTCGCGTGGCCTTTGTGTGGATTTTACGCAGACTTAAGCCGGAAGCGGCCAGCGCGCTCTGCATGCCGTGATATATCTCGTTGCGAATCGGTGCGCGAGACCCTTGCGCGAATAATTTATTGTTTATCGCTCTGTCCCCCGACAGCTTATATTACACAGAAGTCGTATTGGATTCGTATCAAGTGCACTTACCAGGTTTTCACGCGAAACACGCAATTATTCTCCCCCAGCACAGCGTGCTGTCCCGCGAAGCTCTCCCGTACGGAGACTTTCCCGTGCACACACACTCCACCCGTCACAATCAAAAAAAAAAAAAAAAATCCGAATATCCTCGCAGCACATTCATCTAAAATGCTCAACGGAATGACATATCACTGTATACACGCACCGTATAATTGCAGATTCATCCTTTGCTCATTAACGTATCTTCCTGTTTCCCACGTCGCGTGATTATACTTTATTAATGCATTGTTATTGTCACTTGTAACTTAGCATTTTTAAAGAGTCCCAGTGAAGTGGTCTAAAGATCACCTGCTTGATTATCACTTATCGTGTATCGTTCAATTGAGATTCGCCGGTTTCTCTCCTCGCGGAATTCGGAATTTCCCCGTATTTTTCTCACCGTCGGGCGCGCGACTCATCGTTGGAAAATTATTAATGTAGGAAAATGGCCGGGAAAAACGCGCGCTGCAGTATGCATGGACGGAACGCCGGTTAAACACAAACTAAACGGGCACTGACGGAAAGAGCACTTTAAATCACCGAATACATTTGCTCGCTCGACTGGCCTGGTAATTGTCAGCGCGTGCACAGCGAGATACACGAGGAATCTTCACTACGAAAGATTCCATAAATTACCGGGAGAGTTCGGCTCGAATTTCGAGGAAAACTCGTGTCGTGAATCAGACGTTTCATCGAAGCGAAGAGCTCCGGGGGTGGGGGAGGGGGGAGGAAGAGCATTCGAAAATTTTGATTTTAAATCTCGCGCACTTTCAGGGTGAGTACACTCTCCCCACACGTACCGGTTTTCTCTTCTTCTCTTCTCAGCTAGATTACACTTATCACACACGGGTTATTATTACACTCACAGCCGAAACGTGCATCGCTGAGCGATTGATTAACCGTGCGGTTAATTAAGTGCCACACGCACACGCGATCGCTTTAATTAGCGATGCTATGAACTGTTTCGACACATCGGAGAGACGCACGTTGACGTCTTCATCGCGACGCCAAAAATTCACATGTACTACGGGACGTGTTATCAACCAAACCGCTCCTCTCCTCTCTCTTTCTTTCTCCCTCTCTCTCTCTCTCTCTCTCTCTCTCTCTCTTTCTCCTGTCTCCTTCTGCTCGTCTCCTCACTCTTTCCCGGCACCGGCAAAACCGACCGAGGCGCGCGGATTCGTCGAACGTGCCGAACAGTCCCGATTCACACGCGGCCTCTCCTCGCTTTCCAATTTCGGCGCGTTTTCGAATCGCCGCCGCGGACGAGAACTCGCGTGGTAACAATCGTTCGCCGGCCACCGTTCGATTCGCGGCGTGCGCGCGCGATTCGATAAGTCGAACACGCGGCGATACGGTGCCGTGCGACAGACTGGCGCGGACGGAAAGCGGAACGTACAGCGACGAAGCAAGCAAGCCTGCCTGCCTGCCTGCTTGCCTGCCTGCCTGCTTGCCTGCCTGCCTGCCTGCCTGCCTGCCTGCCTGCCTGCCTCGTTCGGTGAACAGCCCGCGGCCCCCACGTTGTTTGTCTCGCGAGTGGCCTGTTTACATGTTGACTCTCTGTTTACGCGTTTTCCTCCCCCTCCCGAACCTCGCCGGCTCGCGGCTCCCACCCCTCTCGCCGCCTGGCACTGACGACCCGCGCAGTTCCCCCTCTCCCTCCCGCACGCTCTATCATTCTCCTTCTCTGTCGGTATCTCTGATGTCTCGTGCCTCTCTCCTTCTCGCCGTTTCTCTTTCCTTCTCTCTGTTTATCTGTCTCGCTCTCTCCTCTCTCTTTCTCTTTGTCCGTCGCGACGCGAGTATTCGCGATGTCGAATAAAGCCCGGTTCACACTGCCGTGCCGATAGAATTATCGACCTGTCCGAAAAACCGACAGACTTTAACGCGAGGGATCGCGCAAACTGGAACCACCCAGTATAATCCTCTGTGTGAGAAATGCGAATAAATTATAACGTTATACTGCGTCTTTGTTTAGCGTTTTGAACCTTTGACGGGGATCGAATTCAATTTGGTGACAATGCCTAATTTCAATCGGTCGAAGAGAATGAAATTTCCGTTTAATCTTCCATCTCGGATCCTTCTTAAGAGTAACATTCTCTATAATCCCCTCATCCTCCTCCTCCCTTTCTAAAGTTTTAATACAATCTTTGCGACTCTCGTATTTGCGTTGTAAAGTAAAGTTGTAAAGAGTGTCTCAATCCCTCCCCTTAAAATATGTAATCATAATCTAAGACCTATTTTTAAAATTTCAACTCGATAGCGCCGTAAAAAAACAATTTATCAATTCTGACTGTTCAGCATTCGTTGTTTGTTTCGCGAATATCAGGATACGGAGAATGTCAGCCAGTAGATGTGACCTACATAGACAAAAGTCGTAGTTAACTTGGCGAATGAAGAAACTGCATTCGTATCACTTTTGTTCGCGGCTCGTTGGTCGATGCTTCCGAGCGGACGATTCGGTGTTTGGCGTCCAATCGAAATAATCGATCCGCATAAGAATTGAGATACTACACGGTTTGTCTATCCGCGTAAACATCGAGCACGCGAAACACAATAACACAGAAACAAGGCGGGAATGATACGCGAGTATATATCGAAGGCAGTAATGACATTCCAAGTTAATCGCTCGTGCGCGTTTTACATTAACACACGTGTTCACGCTATTCAGACATCACGTCAATTAAATAGTTGCTGCCGAATGTCCGCATCATACACACGCATATTAGTTCCCGGCTTTGCGTCAAAACAAATCAATATTTTCTTGTTTTCCGACCTATTCGGATGCGATATTTTTCATTGAGACACCTCTGAGTCGAAATTTAAATCCTCCTCCATTGATCTCAATATTCCATTTAACACTTTTAGTACCCTGAAGCTCCTATATCAGTCTCTTTTAATTCTATTTAACTTTTTAATTTCTCCAAGAGGTTCTTTTTTTAGAAGTTATACTGAGAGAAAAGATTTAAAAAATAAAAACATTTTATTCGGTGTTACTGATAACATATTTACTTAAATCTAAATTCTTTCATTAAATCAAATAGAATAAACAAATGTTTTCATGGAAAGCTAAGAATTTAAGAAAATTATTTTTTTATTTGAAAAATATTTTATATATTAGAGTAAATATGTTATTATATTTTGTTGTGTATTCATCGCGAATGAATACTTTTTGTTTCTTAAATATTTCTTTTCTCAGAATACAAATGACATTTTGTGTCTTGTGCACTGAGAAATAAATACTTGAAAATTTATTTATAAGATATAAAGCTTATTCATAGAAATAAAGTTTATATCTCACAAATTTTCAAATATTTTCAAATATTGTCAGTGTAGAGGTCCTAAGAATAGGATTTAATTTCCATGTACATTAAACATACACTGATCCTTCAGAATACAGATGGAAAGTTTAGGTCGAAAGTAAGGTTAAAGTTTCGACTCGAGATGACACCGCTTAATAAGCGATTTGACACTTGTTTACCGTTTGCGGCAATGCGTATCACCTGACCGTAACGAATGTCTGTCTCAGCCTTGGGAAACGCCTTCCACGTTTGACTGACGACAGGCTAGGTTTGCGTGACGAAAATTTCCTCAGGATTCATTGAGTACTCATGCACGCTGAAGCCGTCGTCTCGAAGAGGCGCGTGCCGACGCGTGCGCCTATGTTATCAAGTTAACAACGTGTTCCACACA